CATAAAAAAAAAAAACAAAACAGTAAAGCATCTTCATGAGTACTAGAAATCACAGAATCACAGAATGGCCCAGGTTGGAAGGGACCTCAAGGATCATAAAGCTCCAACCCCCCTGCCACAAGCAGGGCTACCAACCTCCACATTTAATACCAGACCAGGCTGCCCAGGGTCCATCCAACCTGGCCTTGAACGCCTCCAGAGACAGGGCATCTACAACCTCTCTGGGCAGCCTGTTCCAGCACCTCACTGCTCTCATAGTAAAGAACTTCTCCCTGACATCCTCCTTCTTCCTTCCCTCCCTCCAACTTAAAATCATTTCCCCTTGTCCTGAAATACCTTAAGGGATAACTTAACACCTAAATCTGAATATTTAGAAGACACAAAAATAATTTTATATAGCATAAGATTTAAAAGAATTCATAAACATTCTTATTTTCTTTGGCATTTCTGAAGCATGGCTTCAAGTGTGGTTCATCATACAACCAGTATTATTTCAGTCTCGATCTTTTCCATTCTGTAACTGTTACTCTTTCCAGGGTCTTTGGTATACACTTGTAACTATCTCATAGATACTGAAACATTCATCACTTGTCTCTCCAGCTCATGGCATTCCAGTTTACTCAAACAAGCACAGCCTATGAGACTACATGGACAGTAAAACACGTTTCAGATAAATTTTACCAGTATCCCTTTAAAATATCTGAGAGTTCAGATTGAGATGATTTCCTGTGCTGTTGTAACTTATTGGGAACAAAACAAAACCATTTTGTGATGGCAAAAGTTGTCACAGAATTTATAATTCAAAGTTGTTGAATTTTTTGCTGAACTTTTTGAAGTTGAGATTCACAGATTCACAGACAGTCCCAAGTCTGCAGGCATCCAAGAAGCATTTGGACGATGCTCTTAGATACTGACTTCGGTTTTTAGGCAGTTCTGTGTGGAGCTAGGAGTTGGACTCAATGATCCTTGTGTGTCCCTTTCAACTGAGGACACCCTGTGATTCTTTTTTACAGCTATAATGAACCTGAGAAATACCTCCACCCCCCCNNNNCCCCCCCCCCCCCCCCCCTTTTTTTTTTCATAAACAAAACTGATTACAAATACTGAGACATTTCAAATTATCTGCCAACAAACTGAATGGTATAATGTGTGCTCTAAATAAAATGTAGGTTTTTTCACTTACCTTCATTGCAGGCTTTGCTTTATCTTTTGGGAAGCAAACACAAACATATGAGAACAGTATTTAATAGCAACTTCTTCCTGAAAAATAAATCTTAAGAAACTCATGAGCTATTACAGTCATCAGACATCTTGTAAGGAAGGGGGAAGTACCTTCCTGTAAATCTGCCCAGTATACGTGTATTTTTTTCTTCCAGTATAAAAAATTCAAATGTATGTTGGAAAACAAATAAAAACCTACCTAGATATATTCCAGCCATCTATTTCCAGTTGCACAGAAAAGTACCGTGCTTTCTTTGCACTACCTATTAGACACCAGAAATGCTAACCGTTCTGACTGACTGCAAAACAACTTATTAATAATATTTTACACTTCAGATGAAAGTAATAAAATTTGGGAGTATACTAAGTTGTCACTTTTAAAGGGGGGCATTAAATCCTGGCTTGGAGTCAATGGCAATGATATCTCTTAGAATGCTATGAATAGGGCCATCTATGGTCCAACAAATGATACCAGCTACATTTGAACTAAATGAAAGCACTTTCAGAGTACTGCCATTCCACCATTCCAGAGGTGTTGTGAGGCTTTGTTTCCAGTGATCTGCCATTTCTTTTTGACTCAGAGTATTCCATAATACCTCACTGGGCTCAGCCCTCTGTTAAATGCAGAAAGTGCAGCCTCACCACAGCTGACAAAGGGGACAATGAGTTCCCTGCTCCTGCTGGCTGCACCACTGCTGATGCAAGCCAGGGTGCCATAGGCCTTTGTAGAACAATTAGGGAAAGTGGCTCTGTGCTTGTACATCAACACATCTCATAAATAAAAAATGAGAGTGTAGACAGGCTCATCATGAAGCTTTAATGAGCTGGTCTTTTCTAGTGTGCAGCACTGAGATCTGGTCTAAATAACAGCTTAGTGAAAATGATAAAGCTCGGCTACCAACCACTGAAGTACTGTAAATATCTAAGTGTGAAATTATACAGTTCTGTGTAAATCAAGCACGGAGTCACCGGGCTTCTTTTTCCCTGGTAACAAGGTGCTACTAAATTGCAGAAATCGTCGTATTACATCAGCCGGAGCTTGAAAGATTCCTTCAGGTAAATAATCAAAAAATACCAGAAGCGGCTAAAATCAGCCTCGGCTTCCCGTCCAGCACTTCAGTTTCAAGCTTCAGCCCATCTCTGTAAAACGGGAGAAAGAAAAATCGGAACGGTGAAGAGAAGAGGCCGCGGTGAGATCCGCAGGCTGAAACAAACCGCACCTCGCGCTCACACCGCCCGCAGCGCTCCGGTCACCTCACGCGCCGCCGGCCCTTTCCCGCCCCCTCCCCACACGGGCTCCACGCCCCCCCGGCACCAGCGGGCCGCGAGGCGCCGAGCTCAGGCGGGGGCTGGGTCCCGCCCCGCGCAGAGCGGCGCTCCCGGCCGCCGGGTCCCTCCCTCCTTACCCCAGGTTCATGGCCCGACCGGGCCGCCGGCGGAGCCTGAGGGGCCGCCGGGCTCGTGCCGTGTGTACGGCGGTTGCCGGCCCCGCGCAAGGAGTCGGGAGGCGATAGGCTTCCGCCGGGCCCCGCTTCGCCAACGGGCTGCGCGCACACTGCGGGGCCGGGCGGAGCGGCGCCTTGTGGGGGATGGAGTCTGCGGCGGGGAGCGGCTGGGGAGGGAGAGCGAGGGAGGGAGAGGGAGCGCCTTCTGTCTCCTCGTGTACTGCTTCGGAACAGCAATTTCTGAAGCGTTCCACGTTGCAACTTACTATTTTATTTTATTACTAGTCCTCTTTTTCTTTCTTTCTCCCGGACAATAGAGTCAGCATTCATATTCCTAACCTTCCAGTGAAAATCTTTCAATCTTTCTTTTTGGGGGGCAAAAGAATTGCCTCCTGATTTCAGCTCGAGACAGCAGGTGGCAATATAGTTTCAAACATACCTGCAGAAGTTTAACTGCCCTAAAGAAACCATCTTACCAAGGGCTCAAAACGGCTTTTATTTTTGCTCCTGAAACGAGTTTCAATCTGTTAGGATTTTTGGCATATTTTATGAATTAGGTATTAGTGGTTTGCTAGACAAGCGTGAAAACGAATTCTTTCTAAAAGCATGCAGTTCGCACCTCTGTACGTAGTTATCAAATGCTGCCATTTGAAGCTGTCACTAAAACTAGTGCTTAAATGATGTAGCTACAAATCTATTCTACACCCAGCTCTTCAGATCCCCTTAGTGGTAGTGTTACGGTGGAGGGGAATGCTTTGAAAGTAATAAACATCTCCTCTAAGTTCTGTATTAATGCTGATTGCAAGTGAATATACACGAGCTGCTGCCAAGAGTTCATACCGTACAGTTGATGACCGTAACACAGCAGTGTGAGTACTGCTACGTAGCTTCAGTTCTGGTAGCTGCAGAAGACAGTAAATATGAGCAACTTTTGTTTTGGACATATCAGTTTTACAGTAAACGTACAAAGTCAAGAGTTAATAACATGCTAAGCTTCAGCAAAAAGAGAGTTTGGAAAAAGCTCATTTATTATTTTTGTTGATATTAACAAAAAAGTGAAACAGAGAAACAGAAACTGGAGCAAAGTCACTTTTTAACCCTGCCTGAGTTCATCCCACCTTCCCAATTACTCTGATGGCATGCTAAAATATTCCTAGTTTTCAGAACTCTTGCCTATCGTGGGCATGATAGAAACTGATGTGAAATATTTGAAGAATAAATAATGTTTCCTATTACTACTTGTCCCAGAACATTATTTACGGTGCATATGTTTTTAGAAAGGAGGATGTGGGAGATAATATAGTTTCTATAATTCAAGCACTGTTGGGGTGCTTATGGGAAAAGAGTTAGCAGCCTCTTTCATATCCTGAAGAATTAATCATCAGCATTCCCAACTTCTTGACTCATTCAGGAGGTTTGAATAAAAATGTTTCTGGGCTACGTGGGTCTTTCTGAAGGACAAAACACTACACAAAGTACTTCAGTCACATGTTGATTAAACTTTTTAATAGCCTATATAAGAAAGGTAAGAGCATGAGGGTTCAGAGGGAAGTAGGTGTTGTGGAAATCCCATGAGGTATCTGTCTTGATACTTACACATAAATACCATTAATATCTGGTCTTAAGTGACCCAGAGGTTTTTCAGTCACTTACATATTCAGGAAAACCCACTCTCATTTTCTAGGTGGATAAATGGGTTGGCACAATGATTAAATTCAGCATCATTAGTGGTAGGTTTTGAAAGATAGAAAAATGAGGTGTTGGCCTGGATTGGGATGGTAAATGCAGTTACAGTACAAATAAAGTTGAGATGGTGCTCCAAGAATTCATTTCACTGGAACTTGCATATAGAATGCTGCCACATTTGGATTTGGCATTGTTACTGCATGGGAGAAGACTTTTTAAATAGTTAAATATACTACAAATGTGGATTGAATCTGCTAACCTGTGGGTGTTTTTTTTTTTTTTTTTTTTTTTTTTACTTCAGGGTGAAGGGAGTCTCAAAACTTCTCAGAATGTGAACTGTAACATTCATAGAGAGCATGTCCTTTTACCCTACAGTGACCAACAGAGATTGTAATCCTTTTTCTTAATACTTATATGTAGTTTCTCTGGGATAGTCAGCTGTTGCTGATTCAGAAAATTAGGAATTTTCTTAAGGCATTTTAAATATCCATAATTACATCTGGCAACTTGAATTCTATTCTATGATTCTATGAATTATATAAAAGCTGTGAGCATATACGAGCAAACAGCAAATCCCTGTCAAGTTCTTTACAGCCCAGCATTAAAACTAAGATCACTGCTGAAGAACAGCGTCCCTCAAAGCATGTATTACTTGCTACTGGGCAGATCTGAGTTCATATTTAGTTTTCAGGTCATAAGAATTTAAGTGGAAAATACCAACAGTTTTGGTTTCAACTCCAGTGAAGTTTAGGGAACACAAATGCTCATTTTTAGACTTCTTTTCTTAACTGATTCCTGCAAAACCAAAAAAGATAAGGAGTAACTATCAACTTTTTGCAATCAAATGCCAGCATGAGATGGTGTTAATCTTTAGCTAGCACACTTGACAATTAATGATGTGAATGTATGAACTGCATGCTAAATAAACCTTGCTGAAATCAAAGAAAATATTTCTTTCAAGAAAATCTGTTACTTTCTGGTACAGCAACTGATAGCAGGACTGCATGTTCTGATTGTAAAATAGTATTCTAAACAGGAGCGTACGTCACATCCATAAATTAATTGTTGATCACTAATGTAATCGGCTCAGAGTGTACAAAGAATTTTTAACACTGAGATATTTCTAAAAATTGTTCCTATGTAGCAGAGGAATGCAGTTCCCCAAACCGGCACCACACCTTTATTGTCATTCATACCATACTTCTTTATGTGAGGTGTTACACATCTTCTGTTCACATTTATGTATTTAAATGATAGTTACATTTTAAATTGTCTTTGTAGACATTGCCTTTTTATAAGTTATCTTGGAATGAGTGCAATCTTGAAGAAATTTGTATACACAGTGTAGGCCACCAAGAAGCATATTAAGAATGTAAGGAAACTATGTTTTTGTTCTACATGTGTAACTAAAAAACATTGAAGTGGGCAGACAGAGTCAGGAGCAAACCAACTGAATTTATATAAGCCTCAGTCTACAGTAATCTTTACCTTTTATAACCTTCAATTCCATCAATTTGATTGGGTAGTGGCAAAATTCATTGGTAGCAAAAAAGCTGTACCTCCAGTGGAGTTGCACTGTCTCAGAACAACAGGAAACCTTACTTTCCTATTGAGACAGACTCTTTAAATTATATTTCTAGTCTTTATAGCATTTGCCTGAAGTATTTGTCAAGTATTTGCTATTTTCAGGTATTTCATGGACAACTATGAATATTTAACTTTGCATGCATAATTCTAGGTATTGTTAAGAGATTGCATTTTTAATTGAACGACAGCCTCTCTAGGGGAAAAAAAACCAATATTTTTTCAAGTGAATGTTCATAAAGCTAACTGTTCTTGTTTGATACTTACTGTCAGTAAAGGACATGTTCTTCAAAATTGTACATCGCTTATACAAGATTCTTATCACAGTCCTATTTCCTCATATGGCAGTCTTAACTGAAAAATCTCAGGTCCGTTGCAAACTTTACTTCAATGTTTGTATGACTAAAAAGGACCCATGTGTACTGTTACGCTTATCAAAGAGTTGGGATAAAGTGTAGAAACAGAAAATGTTGCGTAAGAAGGCAAAAGAATATTAAAAAAAAAGAAGAAAGAAAAAAAGAATGGATTATACCTGAATGGGCTGCTGCTTTTACCAAATTTTCTTTCTAAATTCATAATAACAAAGAAACAAAAACTCAGAGTGTTCTGCTGTAACACACAGTAATTGTCAAAACACAAAGAAGAGATGAGTCCTGTTTCTCAAAGATATATTTCTCATCAGCTCTCTGGAAAGAATAAAACTTGCATCAAAACAGCAGGATTTTCTAGTAGCGTTGGAATGTTAGTACATAAGACTAATATGTAGTATCAGGTCTGGATATTTTATAGAGTAAAACTATTAATAATCAGTATATTAAGTGAGGATTGGGCCAGTCTTTCTTCTGAAAATATGTCATCTTATTTCCTAAAAGTATGTTTTGATAGAGCTTATAATAAAACAGTGTAAAAGCAAAGATTACTACTTAACATTTCATGCTTGTCAGGAAAGCATTTCCTGCAAAACACTTACAAATGAGCCCCTTCTCAACTCTTGACTGAAATGCATTAAGCAGAAATTTGACAACTGCTCAGCACAATTTGCAAGCTGCAGAGAATTCAAAATAGTCTTCCATGTCTAGGCAGAAATTCACTTACAACAGGGAGGTTAGTAGATTCTTTGTACTGTATGAGCCCATGTTGTATTTAATTAAGGTATGGTAAGCATCACTGTATTTTCCCTTGATGGCTAAGAATTTTTGCTCCAGGTGTAATATATTTGCAGTTAATTAGTCTGATTTTTTGTTTTTCTTCTCTCTTCCTTTCTTGCCCCTTGTAAAAATCTAATAGGCTGTCAAATCTTTTATTATTTTTCTTGAAGGAGCCTTCTCTTGGATGGATATAATTACCTTAGTACAGATGCATTCATCAACTTCATTCAAGGTAACTGACTCATGAACTGATTAGGTTTTACTACTTATGTAATGTGTATTGCAATTAATCTCATAGCACGTATAAAATTAATATTTGATGTGAGGACAACAGAAAATATCCTCCAAAGAAACTGATCAACATGTATTTGAACAGACAGAAATGAAACCTAAGTTAAAAAACAGACAAAACCTTAGAAAGAAATGGCAGGGAAAAAAGCAAACAAATAAGTAAAACAGTGATGGTATTTATTTGTACTTGTTATCAATGATGAATGATTTTTATAAAGTAAGGTAAAACAGTAAATCGAACATTAGTAAAGTAAATTTATATTATATTGTAAAAATTCAAAATGCCATCTTAAAGTCACAGTGAAGCAGTAAAAAAAAAAAAAAAACAAACCCAAAAAACAAAACAAACAAACAAACAGTAGAGAAAAAGGGAGGAAAGTAAAATGCTCTGCTATACCAAAAAAGGATCAATCTACTGCCTGAATCTTTTAGTGCAAGCATTTGCTCAGGTGCTATGCAGATACCTTTGTCTGTTTTTCTATTTTTCTTCTATATACACACACTTTTAAAGTCCAACTTTTCTTAAGGAGGAAATGTCAATCAATTTTTTTTTTTTTTAAAGCCCCTAAAATAAAAAACAGCTGCTTAAATACTAAAGAAAACAACAGATTTATCTAGTAATTATATTTCTTTCACCTTGTATTATATTGTTTGTCTTCTCAGGATGAGGTTTAACTCACTCAGAATCTTAACTATTCTGATTTCTAGGGACTGTTCAGGGACTTTTCAGAAGAATCCTTGAGGGAAAGAAAAAGCATGTGTGCATGTTGTAATGGATCATATCTGAAAAGTGAAAGGTACATTCCAAGCGCCTGGGGCTGCTTTTGTTCAATATTTAAACAGATCTTCAGGGATTTTAGAATAAACTTAATACTGGATTGCATAGCTTCCTTAGCTTGGGAGTAGAAGGAAGGTGTAAGGTGCTTATTTTTTCCCTGGAAATAAACAGAGCTCTGTAGTGTCAGAAAAATAATCAATGTAACAGTAATATATACACAAATCCTGAATAACAGCATTATTAGAAACTGTATTTCTATGAGAAATCAGCTCTGAGGTGATTTTTACCTTAAAATGAAATAAAAGTATAAACAGGAGAGGAGATGGTCATTATTTGTTGTGCTTTAATATAAATATATTCATTTATGGAGTTGGATGGCCTGTATATCTGTTTAATGTAAACTGAGATGTGGTTGTAAAGGAAACCATGCCTTCTTTTGTGACATGACATTATTACAGTATTACAGCATGTTACAAATTTGTTTTATCTTTAAAACTGTTCAGGTCTGGTACATTTTTTCCAGTTGTTACTGACTGGGAGGTGGGAGATGTTGTGTTGACACGTGTTAAAATAGTCAGGTGGAAGATAGTAAATGAAAATGTTACAATTCATTGTAACATGGCTTAGAAACACATAATACACCACTGTGTTATATTGGAAATGTGTGGACTATTACTGTGTATTTAGAAGTTTTGTAAGATGAATAATCTAAATCACAGTGCTTTTGTGTGAAGAGGGAAGAGAAGCATATTCCCTGGCCAGAAGCAGATATGAAAAAGCAGAATATGCTGCATCTCTACAACTGTTTCCAAGATGCTGTTGTATTTTTGCTACTCTGATTAGGAAAAATCTGAGTAGATCAGCAGACTGATATAAATGTATTTGAGCTGAAAGATAAAGGAATAGGATTTTCTGAGAAATTCCCTCATCTGCCCTTTTCTTTCCACACTGTAAAAATGCCATTTTCTTTAGGCTTTTCCATATTCTTTTTGTCTTCCCAAAATTGCAGCATATTTTCTTCTCCTTCATCCTTGAGCTGTACCTGATTGGATTTGTGCTTGTATTTGCAGGAAAGTTATGCATTGTTGCAAATTTCAGTTCTGTGCTACCTACTGCAATTTGAAGGAAAAACTTAAAATGGCTAGCAGCAAAATGGAAGAAGATTAAACAGAGAAGAAAATGATGGGCTATGCTGATGCAATGCTTTCTCTCACCTTTGATATAAGTCTCCCCTTTTGTCAAGTTTTCTGAGAAAAGCTCTTTAATCATAACTTGCTTATTTAGGTTGAACTTGGTTATATTTAAAAATAATTTCAACAGATCTCATCAACTGCTGCTTGCTTCATTGCCATTTTCATATGGGCTTTAGAATTTCTAAAGATGCAAATTCATTTTGAAGTAATCCTTATTGCCTCTGTGGAAAGTGTTTATTATATTTGGCAATAGTTGTTCTGCAG